ACGAACATAAACTCTACTTTAATTTATTTTATGTCAGGTTGGCTGCATATGAAAAGATTGCGCAACAACTCGCATGCGCCAGCAATTTGTCATGATCGAGTTTTTCGAAATACCGATATAAGTTTAGTCATTTTCTATGGGAGATAATCTTGGTAGCCCAGGTAGCACTGATGGTCGTTAGTCGAGTTGCTCAGAGCAGCGAAAAAAATAGCAACCATTTTCAATCACCGCGACTCTACGGACTGCCAAAAATCCACAAGGCAGATGTCCCGATAAGGCCAGTAATGGACGGTATAGGCGCGCCGCCGAATGAACTGGATAGATTTTTAGTTGGTATACTAAAACCGCTCACGGGGAAATCAAGCACCTTCATTAGGAATTTGTACGAATTTTCCAGCAAGGTCGCAGGGCTTCTTTTGGAGATGGACGAAGTCCTCGTGAGCTTTGACGTAATCTCAATGTACACAAATACCCCTGGGGAAGATGCTCTGGAGGTGACTAAGAGGTTGCTACTGGCAGACACGACACTCGGGGAACGGACACAGCTCTCGGTGGATGAAATAGTTCAGGGCATAAGAGTGTGTTTGAATCTTGATCAATTTGTTTTTGACACAAATTTTTACTCACAAGACCAAGGCCTTGTAATGGGATCTCCGACATCCCCAATCCCCAGTTTTAGCCAATATTTACATGGAGGACTTCAAACAAATAGCCTTGACCGGATATCATTGTCCACCCAAAGTTTTTTGGCGTTATGTTGACGACACGTTTATTATAACCAAACAAGATAACGTGAACAGCTTCCTCGACTATCTCAACAGTTTAAGCCCACACATTGAGTTTAGCATAGAAATAGAACCCACCTCGGGCACATTACACTTTCTGGACTGTATAACACATAAGGTTGGTGGGAAATTGAAAACGATTATCTACCAGAAACCAACAGACACAGAAACTGTCTTAAGCTATTCATCAGCACACCCAAAGTCCGTGTACGCCAGCATTGTGTCATCGATGTTTCGTCGAGTTAGAGCGCTGCGCACAGAAGAGATCGATCGGACGGCAGCTCAAATAGAGATTGCCAACAAACTTCAAGAAACAGGATACCCCGTGCGTTTGATTAGGCTCCAGTATCTAGACCCAGTAAGGAATGGATTGGCACAGCAGTCATTTCGTATGAAGCAGGAACGCCGGAGGTTATTCGAAGACCGTTTAACTTAGCCAATATTCGAGTAGCTTTTCAGAAGGGAAAAACGCTACTCTCAGGTTTAGTGCAATTGGAAGATCCCCTGCTAGTTGAAAGGACTAGAGACTGTGTGTATAAAATTAGCTGCAACCATTGCGCTAAGGTTTATAAAGGACAAACTGCCAGGGAATTGCACGCCAGAATTGGTGAGCATAAAAGAAGGATTAACAAACCACCAAGGAATGCAGAAGAATAACAAACGCTGGTCAAAGACCCAACGATGCCTTAGACACGGGACATAGAATAGATCTGGAGAATGTGGAAGTCTTAAGACGGGGACTGCGATTCACACCACAACGGCTGATAGCCGAGGCGGTGGAAATCACTAAGCATCACAGCGTGAATAGAATCGAGGGTGTGGAGCTAGCGAGCGTATGGAAAGCGGTCTTAGATAAGCCGAGTTGACACGTGACGGTGTGGTTGTCAATCCACTTAGGATCATTAGAAAAAACCGGGGGGTAGGGGTGGAAACCCCAACCGACCAAAGGTCACAGCATCCCTCCTACACAACTTTCTTAGCACTAGCTCACCCACACAGACTAACAGAAGGTTCAAACGAAGTTCAAGAGGAACCATCAAATGAACCGAACCAGAAGAACTAGACCCTAGGCAGGACCCAAACACATGTAGGTTTCCCCACCGACCCAACACTTGTTCAACCACTCTAACACACTAAAATCCCTCGGCCGACACCCAACAGAGATTTAGCTTGACTTAGCTGATTGGTTCTCCTTCCGCCTTAAATCTCGATCAACCTCGGAACCTAGTCACTTGGCCTGACGAAGCTTTTGTGTCAAACGCGAAACGTTGCCCAGCAGTAAATCTACCGATTGTCACCAAACATTTCGAAAACAGCCATTTTCGTCTTCGTTTACCAGGTGTAATTTCCGATATTTATAGGCTGATCTGATATTCAGTTTTTGGTACCCTTCTCGTGGTACAAAAACAATAGTAAGTTTCGACAATTTTGATGTGTGGATGATTCTGTTTGTCAAAGACATGTTTTGTACCATTTTCATATTGAACAGAAGCACATTTTATCAACTGAACCTAGACTACTCTAGTGAAAAGTACACAAGCCAGATTACATTACCATAAGCACTAAATGAAACTATTTATGACAATGCCAAAAATATTGTTTCGTTTTATGTTTTTACTGAGAAATGGGGCATGAATAATTTGTTGAGTATCTGTCGACCATTCGTGATGATAAACTTTGCAGCTTTGACGGTTTGATATCAGTCGTTGTGGTTGACTGTCATTCTAACTGATATGACCAAAACATGGCCATTTAAGTAACTCCAAGATTAAGATACAATTTAAAAACTTAAATTTTGTTGTATTGAGGACAGGTTTTGGAAATTTTTCTAGAGGATTCGCCCTATAGGTGCAGCTAACCTATACTGAAAATCTTATACTCACTGCATAGCTGTTTCAGTCATACACGGAACATTGCGCATCTCACGAAGTTCCATCGTGAATGCTTGTACCGACAGCCTTCCGGGCGGTATTTTGACCACTTAGGCTTTTGGTAACAACTGTAGTCAGACTGGAAGCTGGTCACACTGCTGATCGACGTCTTTTGCGTAATCAAATTACTAGCCCGATGATCAGCTTTTTGGAGTGCTTCTGTTGCAGATGGTGATATTTGTTGATTGTTACAGGATCATTAGATAAGGCTTTGGCCTGATGTATTTATCTCAGGCTTCAACAGAAACGAATTCAAGTCTGTTCACCAGAGTGTGTTGACATTTGACAGCCTAAAGCTCTTAAAGGTAACACATACCAATATTCCTCGAAATGTTGCAGTAAACTCTGACCAGTGGTGCTGCGCGAACAGGGGTTTGCAAACCAAAAAAGTTGATGATGAAACATGAATTCAAATCTGTTCACCAGAGTGTGTTGACATTTGACAGCCTAAAGCTCTTAAAGGTAACACATACCAATATTCCTCGAAATGTTGCAGTAAACTCTGACCAGTGGTGCTGCGCGAACAGAGGTTTGCAAACCGAAAAAGTTGATGGATGAAACATGTGGAAGGCCGAAGCTTTCCGCTGTTCCGTATCTCAATATTTTCCGAGGGCAGACGTTTTGGACCTGGTAAAGTAAGAGTGAGTCACCCGAATTCCTATGCAGTACAAATTTCAAGTCATTTAACAATAGGATTATTCGTAGTTATCCAAATCCATAAAGTAAGAGTGAGTCACCCGAATTCCTATGCAGTACAAATTTCAAGTCATTTAACAATAGGATTATTCGTAGTTATCCAAGATTTATCCATCCTTAATCCCATGCTAACACATGATTCAGGGACGAACTGGCGATACCATGTTAACTGGCTAACCAAAAATGCTACTGAGGACGGAACAAAAGATCTTGCTTGCAAGTCTCTCCTAAGGTCACTAGTGTTTTTGGTAGTAATTCTTCCTGTCACCTAAATCCATGCTAGACATTCTACCCGCATCATCGCGTTGGCCAAGCCGTTAAATCAGGGAGGTAAAATATCAAAAACTGTATCAGCGGCAAGCAGATAAGAGCAAATGACCTCTTTCAAATCGCTTGTCCATGTGTGTTCCTAATGATGAATGCAGCATGTTAGGTGACAGTCATCAGGTTGTGGGTTTCCAAAAGTTCAGCTATCTAAACCCAGTCATTCGGAGGGCTAAATTATTGATTGGTATGTAGGCCTGTGATTTGGTCATTGAGTTTCTGCTTGGCGATCAACGGCAAATGGTTAGTGTTATATGCAACAATTTCCTGCACACCAAATTTCTTTATTCATGATTGTTTTTGCACGCCTTCAACAATCCATATTATTTCGCTCCGATTTACTCACAAGCCTGCAAAATGATGTAGCGCAATAACGTTTTATAAGCAATTAGGGTTTTGCATGTTCCTTTATTCTAGAATGCTAGTTGCTCATGCCTTATCCGCGATTATGTTCAATAAAACCTTATTATTGTAGCCTGGAAAATGGAGCAAGTCCAGGTGCAGGAGATATGTCTTTGGGCTTTAGCACACCAACATAATATGTATAACTTGGCGATGTGCCCATGAAAATTATTTACTCCCTTAGTAAAACATACAAGCACTATGATCATTCGAAACATCCAAGCATCATCTTCAGCTTTAGGAATGCTAAAATTTTCACGACAATTAACCCATGTGCACAGGTGCATCACAAAGTGTGAAGCTCCAATCTGGGTAGTTCTATCCTGATACGATAAACTCGCAATAGAGCGATTAGATAAGGTACAATGTTGTGTGAGTTAAACGTGTTCATTGAAAATTGTTGTATACAAATATGATCATGCCCAGTTTTTGATACTTATGATACAAGCCCTGTCAGATATTATTGTGAAGGTTTATTGCTTCATTCTAAGCGATCGAGTTCACTTTATCGCATGTATGCATCAGTGTTGTTATTATTTGATCTGTGAGGCAGTGACGATAATGCCAAATTTACCTTACATTAAATTTGCTATGTTTTAGGCTACTAATCGTGCACTACTATCGTGTGCTGTCGAATCTTTTTAAGAAAATTCGAACAAATAAATTGTCGTAAATTGGAGCTTTACATTCGCTGTCTTAAAATCATCCATACTGTGTCTAATGAGAAGTTTAATCCCCGAACCCCGGCGCGCATTTTGCTAAGAGTTGCTACAGCTTCTCATAAATGTATGACAGAATCCATCTCTTACGCATTTGACTACAAATTGACGTCAGTGGGATGCCTTTAAATGGTATTGGACACGCAAAATAACAAAGATTTATCACATTCAGCAATTCAAGTATACAAAATACAGTACTTCTTGGGATCCGCGTCTCACATATTTTACTACTACGTAGGGTAGACAGAAAAGTAATGATAAAAGTCGTTTTCCAATGTTCACGAGTGACAAGTCTGGGAATACCGTTAAAATATCTATCCAGATCTATGGAATTGAGGAATAAAAATCAAATTTAAAAATAATTTTGCCCAAGAAAAATGATTAGAAATAGGCCGAATCACATGATTTTGCGTGAGGAGCATCATAATTCAGAAAACAACAATTCAATAATTCTTCCCTCAAGATAATTGTTCTACTTTGCACTATTAAATGATGCTTGGGGAGTTCTACAATTCAATAATTCTTCCCTCAATAAAATTGTTCTACTTTGCACTATTAAATGATGCTTGGGGAGTTCTACTTTAATGTTTAGTTGATTACCTAAAGCGGAATGATTATGGGTCTTATGCAGTATGATGCTCTACTTTCTTTCGTTCAGATTGGCGACATCGGGTTTGGGATATCTCTGGTTCTTCTGGTCATAATCGTGACGGGGAACGTTAGCGTGCTTGTGGCGCTTCTATACAGAAATGTCAAAAATCAGATGAGATGGTTCATCGTTAATCTTGCCGCAACAGGTAGGATACAATTTTCGCACAAGGTATACAGCATTTGATTACAGAGAGGATGTTATATTATATAATATATATATATATATGATAGATATATATATAACATAACATATACATATTATACAGGGGATGTTATATTGAGTATTCTTTCATGTGATTGTTACATATAGCCACAGTTTGAATGCAAAGTGCACTGCAACTTGTCAAAACGGCTGTTCAAATGCATGATCACAATTTTGACAGCGTAGTTATCCTCATTTTGCTAGATGAGATTGTTTTAAAGCAAGGCCATATATAGCTATTTTTAAAACCGAAAGCACTGTTCTGTTAAAAAGTAGATAAAAAACGACTGTTTACCAGCAGCCCTCATCGGTTATGTGATCACCTGGGGTAAACCGTTTTACAGCGAGTAGGCTGCATATGGTTACTGTAAAGCAGATAGTCTTCATATGCTTGTAAGTCCAATGAGTTCCTGAAAGAATAAGTACAACGGTTAAACTCGCGGTAGTCAGCTGAGTGCCATCTACTGGCCTAAGAATGTCAAAATTACAGTGAAAACTGGCGCCACATTGATGGAGTCACCCGTCAGTTCCCTTACTTGCAGTATTACACAACCCTCTTCCTCACAGCGGAATGCATACATGTCCGCCGGAGGTTTTCCAGAAGAACTATTTGGGTTTCTTATGGCTGAGGAGTCGGTACAGGTTGTTGACGTGTATTTAGTTTTCAGAAATTGAGGGAGGATTTACTTCACTTCATCCGTCAATGTCTTTTATTAATGCAATACGTCCCCGCTTCTATCAAGCCCACACTAATGCTTTCAAGAATTCAGGCTCATGCGCTCATGAATAGATGTTTTGCGTTTTACTATTGAAACATGCAGTATCAAATACGCTGCCACTGGCTTAGCTTGTCCGGAGCAAAACTTCAGGATGAGCTGCTGTGAAGTTTTCCTTTTCTTACCTCATCTGGAATGTATACCGGTTTCGTAATTCTGGTGAACCTAGCGGCAACTTCCTGGGAAGTATCCCCGACCCGATGCCTTCCACATGGCTTTCACAGCTAGTCGATTCGAACGACAGCTCTAGTCAAGCTTGGATTTTTATTGTTAGGAAACGAGGTATTTATAATACCGTCCTCTCAGCAGATTCTCGTAATTTTCAAAATATGCTGCAGATGTGAAAACAGCCTACTGTCTGGGATCCACTTACGTATAAAATGGAAACATGCCGGTAGCAAAGTACATGTCACAAAGGAGATGCTGACTGGTACGGAAGTATTTTTGCGTGCGTGCAAATTCACCACTACCGACAATATCCGCCAGTCCGTCTTTTTCGGTCGTTTCTGGTGTTGCTTGGATGACAGAAACCCACCCGACTAGGAATCACTTCAATGTTCCGTGAATTCACTTGTCCTTAACAGTCTTGTGTTATAAATCGTCCGTTATGAAATATTCACCGTCAAGCCAGGGCGAAATACTGTGGATGGTTGATTTATTGTTAGTTGATATTAAGGCAAAGTCACTGGCAAAAGAAAACGCAGAATCTAGAACTCTACAGCTTTTTTCTGTGGAGCTCTGTGGAAAGAATAGCTTGAAGTCTTTGCCTGAAGCTGGTAAACATACATATAGAGCGCAGGTTGTAATGTCGGCCGGCATTTTGGTCGTTTAGTTAAGCCATTTTTATTGCAAAGGTTTTATCATTATTCAAGTTAACATCATTCTCCTTACATCGCATTGACGATATCATCCCCCCTGACACTGAAACTTGTAAAACAAAGCTGTCTAATTCAGCAAACAAAGCAACATCCAACCTTGCTTTGTGCCTTTTGTCGGCTCCGTTTTCTTCAGAATAAGAGCGCCAAGCAGGCACACATATGGTCTTGTACACCGTTCTCAGATGAATCTGACGGAGAAATTTATATTTTACGTCTTGTCAATATGGTCTGAACTGTCAAGCACGCCTATCGTTTCCGCAGGATTTAAGAAATCCGTGTTTGTACCTGATTCAAAGTCACTGGTTGCTTCTGCTTTAGACTGCGGCATTAGAAATACAATCTAGGAAATCCGCAAGGACTTGCCAGTAGCGCGATCCAGTGGCATATCATTTTGTCCCATTAACGGGTGTGACCTGATTCACTTAGAAACACACAGGTTAGGTACTTGGATAAAAAAGCAATCATTTTACCGTTATAAACTTTGTTATTATGGACAGCTTGCATGCAGCCTTTTCTCGCTGTAGAATTGTGAAGTATACACATATCTAAGCTTTAATTGTTCGGTCAGCTATTTCAAAGTTCTATTGCTTACTAAGCTCACGAGATAAAATCGTGACTAGGTGTTTCAAAAAGTGCCTAAAAATGGCCGCATGTCTGCTGAAAAGCTACCCTTATTAGTTCACGAAAAATCCAAATAAAAATTACCGTTAAATATTATGATAAAACCCTTTTTATACAAGTGGCGTTTATGTACACACCGGAGTTCATCCCGTGCACATTAATGTCATCCTGAGTGTTCTGTTGAAAATGAAAAGATGTAAGTGGTGCTGCACTTGGCCAGCCAATTTGCTTGAGACTTCAGTACCATTTTATTAAGTTTCTAATAACTAAATATTTAGCCCGTTGGCTGCAATTCTAGCTAAATTTCATCAAATCTAGGCATAAGCCAAGCAGAATAAAGATTGGTAAGCAGTACAATAAAGGTGACACTTTATATAACGGATCGTAGTTTCCAGCAATTTGAGACAAAATGACGGACTTTCAGTTAGAAAAAAGAAACAGTGGGTTATTTGGCTCTCCAACGAATATTTTTCGATTTAAAAAAGTAGTTACGCTACAGGTATCTAGAAAAAAGCACAATCTTGATTGCTTGACGAATGACACGGTGAAATATCCAGTGTAGCCGTGTTGCAATGTCGAGTTCTCCAAGCGGTACTCGCATTGCATGCACAAATGTCATGTCTATATCTGTACACCCAGTGATTTTATCCGGGTTTGTCTGTTTTTTTTAATAAATAGTGAAATAGATGTTTCAAAGGAAGTCTCACGATAAAGCTTGTTCACAGACAACACTGCACAATTCCGTATTAATTTAGAAGCCAACGACAGGAAAACCCTTACAAGCCAAGTCTTGCACAAACACAAACTTTATGCAATAAAAACGTGAGGGAAAGGGACAAGACAGCGATTCCAGAGCTCAAAACGCTGTCCACGGATCTGTTTTACAAAAATACAGTTAACCAAATATGACATGAGAGAAGATGAAAACACAAGGGATCACTTTGGGGTAGAATGAAAGTAAAAAAATCCATCTGCTACGAAGTGGTAAAAATATTGTGCTGTGTAATATATCATATGAAAAGATGGTGAAGATTAGTGAGGATAACCTGCAATTTACGTGCAATTTACACTTGTACTCAAAGGAACTCACCGCCTGATGCGAAAAACATTTTTTGATTTATGTCAATTGTCCTTAGGTTTTCGCTTTCGGAATTTTCAGAATCAGTACAATTTAGGGGTAATTTTAGTTTTGCGCCGGCAGGATAAAAGATCGAGTGATGTGGAGTGCGGTCCCTTAATTGCATTAAGTCTAATAGGCGTGATTGGCGTATGCAGCCACAGTATTCGGGAATTAGGATCATATGAATATACTATCTAAATGATTGAAGTAAAAGTTGTCATTTTTGTGTTACAGTACCCTTTCTGGAGTTGAACTTGTCAGGTTTCTAAGACGTATGTAATTTATGTGTCAACACAGTATTACAAATTGCTTGTTGTGGCAGAAATTTACCAAATTCGATCTAAAAAACCATTGAGCAGAAAGTGGCACCAGATTCTTTTAATATTAAATGTGAAAGAGAGCAATGCAGCCCAAAACCAAATAACTGAGATGTTATGATTTCAAATCCGTCCGATCGACCCACAAGAAGGTAGTGTGATCATCTGTGGGGATCTGTGGGATCATCAGTGATGCACAAATTATGGATATCTAGAACACCTTGTACCTGATGAACACTGAAAAATTTCTCCACAAGGAGTAAACTGATGCACTATCACTACTGTGTTCATTATTATCCTTTGATTGCCACTAACCAACACAAACATTCGGGAAACGTCATAGCTATAGTATAATCAGTGCGTCGGCTTAACCATGATGTTCGATTACCAGACACTTTAGCCTTTTATAGCAGCAAAACCACCAGTAGTACGGAAGGTTTCCGACATATGGTGGAGCAGCTTGACAACTTGCAGACTACTTGATGTACCGCTTCATCAGCCATTTGCCAAAAATAATCTTTAACCGAGTCTAATGATAGAACCTCCGATGTGGTCGTTACCAACTTGCATTACATCTAGATGGCCTGATGAGTGATGGTGTGTGTTTGTGTTTATTATCGACTATCAGCTGGTAAAAATTCGTTTGACAGGTTGATGCAGTTTGGTGCGCAGTGATTTCATCAGATATGTTAATTAATTTGAAGAGAAGGGTTTCGACAAAAATAGATAAAACCAGGCGTAAACAAACCAAGTCAAAAGTGAGGCGGAAAGGCAAACTTTCAGGAAATCAGCCGTGATTTTAAGCTTAAAACAGTCCGCTCGGGAAATAAAATGTCAAGTCGCTGGTACCAAAGATTTGTTGCCAGTGAGACAGTGGTTGACTGGGGCAATGTAACTATTCAGACTGAAAGCGAATGCAGAAGACCTCCGTATTATTTCGCTTCACTGTTCCCTTTTTCTCTGCAAAGTACCATTCAGTTCGGAGGTGAACCACTAAAATCTCGTAATGCCGTCACGCCGTGACCTGAACAGCATCCACCAACTAATCAAACTAAGCGGTATTCGCCCTTGTCAAATTCCGTCACTAGGTTTTTTAAGTGAGCTTTGTCATTTTTGACCATTTCCTCCGCTAAAATATTCGGGCGTTAGCTAGTCGCTCATTATCAGAAAACGTTAGTAAAAGTGTGTTCCAATATGACGCAGTGCACGTAAACGTCGCCCATGGGACCAACATCTTTATGAGGTGGCTTTAAGTGACTACGGTTAACAACTTCATAAAAGAGGGAGTCTTATGGGCATCTCACAAAGAACAGCGATAACCAGCTTACCATTACTAATTGTATACTGAGATATAGAAAATCGATATAGAAGGCGGAATCCACAGGTGCCACGTTAGACCGCGACAAAGAGGTAGAAATGAGGTTAATTATTAGTAGCAATTAGTCTATTCCTGTTTAGATTAGCGAAAATGGCTTTGTGATACCAAAGTTGTCAAATTGTTGCACCACTTGTCTTGAATTTTGTACCCATGATATATCACGGCGTTAGAAATAAAACGTTTCACAGGCATTTCGGTACATTTGCGCTGAATGTGACCAAATAGTAATTCCGATCTTAATTTTCCACTTTTTACGTTATTTTCTTGATGCTATCCATCCCAAAATATGTTTACATTTTTAACTAGATTTGTGTGTTGCAATCGCCGGAGTTCTTCCAGAATGTATACTGGACTATACTTCTCAATTCAGAGCACCGATTGCAATCTGTAAGCTAGTCAAATACATGGCGGTAAGTTCTTTGTCTTACTCTAGGATAAAGTCCACAAACGACTAGTACATGTGTAAAGCGTAACGATCAGTTATACCTCTGCTACTACAGAAAGCGACTATAAATATATGACCACATGAATGTTATACTACATTGTGTTTCCCTCCCTTACAGTCTGCAAGCACGTACGCCAGTTCTTTCGCACTGATCGTTCTTAGTATTGATCGGGCAGAAGCTGTTTGCAGACCGCTGAGGGTCGCCACATCCGGCGTTAGTAGCAGTAAGTTTACTCCGAGAATGTTCATTTCGAATGTTCCGGTGATATAAGCCATAAAACAGCAAATGGTTGCATGTAGAAATAGTGGAAATTAATCTTATATCCCACGGTTATACGCTTGATAAGCTGAAACATACAGGCTGCTTGATGCTCGAAAGAAGTGGTCACCTCGGCCAAACTGTTTCTCAGATTCTTTTTGCATACTCATAGTAGGAATATTCTAATTTATCATAACAAAATCACCAAACATAATGCATCAAGATGTCTGTGTTTTGCAGTGTTCAAATACATTCCAGGTTTGTTTATTTACTGCGTAGTTTTGCAGACCAGTATGGTACTTAATTATGTATTTAGAACTGTTAAATGCTAACCAAAATAGTCGTTGCCCACAAATTTTCATTCACTTCGAGTTAGCGCACTCGCGATAAGTACGAAAAAGTTATTTGATTCAAGTTTTTCCAGACCTCTTCATTAGTTCGTAATAATTCAGAAAATTTTGCCCCTTAATAGCACGCTGTTTAGCCTTTCGATACTAGTGAATTTATTTCGATTATGCAAACTTCCAGGTGTTTATTTTGCCAGGAGAGAATGTTGGCCATACAAACGGCAAAAATGTTATCATAATCTCTAGAAATCCCGCAGCCGTCCCCAGTTAACAGAAAACTAACACTAGTTCTCGGGATCTCGTCATCAGGTCAGTACATACCCAATGGTTACAATAGAAGCGAAAAATGAAATACGCTGCAAAGATTGGTTAGTGAAATGCAAAACGCGGAGACCCGAACGATTGGCTGTCTGCGCCCCCATGTAGCATCTAGTTGGATGCTGTAAAACAGTCAAGAGGGCTGTTGAGTGACCTGGCCGGTTGATTCGTCTCACACGACCACGGTAGATTCAGCGTTCGTACGCAACGCCGTTGAATAGATACTGGGAGTCTATTTGCCAAACGGTAAATGATTTGAAATTACTCATTTGGCATGACCACGTGCTCGGCGGTTGGACATATCTAGACCGTTAGAAGGAAGCCAGCACTCTTGGTTTTACCGTATAAAGGTGATCTGTTGGCGGACACAGTCAATCGCTGCTTGTTGCAATACCTACAGCGCACGCTTCAGGCTAAAACTCTGCGGTCTTGGTTTACAACAAACCGTTTGCCCAACTTAAACCTCAAAGACAAGATGCCAGTCCTCACCCAGCATGTGGTTGTATTCTTTCTCCTACTGTCGTTCAGCGGAGTATGTTGGGCGCACGACACGGCAACTTTCTAAGAGAATACGCAAGCACCTCTCTTACCGGAATACCATTAATCTCAGCAGTTCACCCAGGAGCTCAATCGCGTCCCACCTAATTGACACGGGACACAAAGTCATGCCAACTGAGTAATTTCAAATCATTTACCGTTTGGCAAATAGACTCCCAGTATCTATTCAACGGCGTTGCGTACGAACGCTGAATCTACCGTGGTCGTGTGAGACGAATCAACCGGCCAGGTCACTCAACAGCCCTCTTGACTGTTTTACAGCATCCAACTAGATGCTACATGGGGGCGCAGACAGCCAATCGTTCGGGTCTCCGCGTTTTGCATTTCACTAACCAATCTTTGCAGCGTATTTCATTTTTCGCTCCTATTTTAACCATTGGGTATGTACTGACCTGATGACTAGATCCCGAAAACAGTAATGGTCCGCACTGTTTTCTTTTTCAAACCATGTGGATATTTAAGTAACACTAGTTTACTGCACTGTGACATCTTAAAACGAGATGTACACTGATGGTGGGACAACAGTACCATCAACCTACGTCGAGGTTCTGCTGCCTTGAAGATTTGAACGTATGACCACCAGAACACCATAGTTGAAATAGGCCTAACTATAGAATACGGGAAGCAACTAATTCAAAAGTCATCTCTTTAATTCTAGCTGAGTGTATTCAGTGCACGGTGCATGTCGTGCTGACAGCGTATATAGCAATTCCCTGCCAGAGAAAGAGAGAAGAAATCGGGTAAATTTTCGACAATAAGCAGGTCAGTCTGACCAAAGTTGACGGCCCGTAAGAGGGGTACCACGGGATTATTTTGTTGAAATTATACCTTATTGTATTCACTTCACGCACTGTATAAAATGGATGATGGTGGAATTTTTCGATAACTACAATACATAGATGACATCAAGAAGTGAGCATGAGCATATAATGTGAGTACCGCTGAGAGCAAGAATGTTCTTTCTGGTATATGGAGAACAGTCACTTAAATCGACTATCGGACATATGAACTAAAATTGTGAAACGCGTGCGTTGATCGTACACGAATCCAGCCAGCTGTGGGATGGAGCGTTGTGTGGTCAACAAGTATTTTCTTCGTACTGCTTATAATCTGTTCTAAATAAAAACAGAATCCTATCCGCGATTCAACCTCAAACCCCTCGTCTTACCCCCGTTCATCTTTGTCATCTGTCCAGCTACTGTAAAGTTGGCTGCTGCCATTTTAATTACAATGTATGCAACTGGCTATGTTTTCGCTGGGCATGCGAAATTTCTTTGGTCAGTTGCTCTGGAATTGCCGCAGTGCTAAACTTCTTACCGAGAAGTTCATGGAGGCTGCGTTCTGAAAAAAATCAAGAAACAATAACTATTGGATCAGTTAAATCCTGCATTTGCGTGCTGAAATATATAGGCTGATACAGGCTATATTTTGAAATGTTGGTATTTGGTTGTTTCGGGTGCATTGAATGTTTGCCGATCAGGTGTTTTCCAGTGGGTCACCCACTCTACTGCGTACTCATGACATCTCCTTGTCTGATGGTGGCTTCTTTACAGTATAACAGGCAAGCCTAGCAACCATCTAGAGACAGTGCACCTAATGCCCTTTATCTATATAATTATCATTTATTTTTGAAGAGCATGGTCACAAACATAAGAAGTGAATGCAAGCGATGAATGCGAAAGAGTAACAGGAGAATATGGGAGAAAAGAGAGAAACGTCTCATTCGAAATCATGCCAAGGACAGTGCCAGTCTGATGAGGTGAATCACAAAGTATGCAGTGTTTGAAGTACTTCTGCGGTGCGGACTTTGGCATGGTAAAAAGTGTATCCCTCAGACTCATCGCTTACACACTGAGTAATACATCGGCTCATATTTTATTCCTCCGCAATCTTGAAAGGACATTAATTCGGGATTATCACCGTTCTTGTTTTCTAATATCTGACATTAATGGAAGACCAGACACGCTCTCCCAAGCAATAGGTTTTCAGTTCACACCTCAAATTCCAAAACTCCCCTCCAACTTCCCAAGCGATACTTGTAAAGTTCCGGCGTTTTAGTCCAAACTCCTCCTCCGCAACTTATCATAGTGATGATCATTGTTCATAGATCCTGTATTTTGTTTCTTATTTGTTGTGCAAAACTTGACATGATCATGACTTTCTTTCACTTATAGTTTCTTCTACTTGAATATTTTCCCAATTTCGAGCTCACGTATTTACGTGATAAGAAACAATTAATGCTTTCCTCCTACCCTACTTACATTATCCAAAGTCCTGGATTCATTGTTCACCTGGAAACTCTTGAACTAAATGGGTCCGTATTTCCAAGAATTTTGATGACCTGTTGACTACTGGCACATATGATCATTTTTCTCTGTCGAGTAAGACAATGCAATTTTCTCCCCACCAGCCAACGTAGGATTATTATCATGGTATAGTAAGCTGGATTAAGCATTTCCAGCCATTTTACTTTAACTTAGTATGGAGCACAACGGAGAGATCTCACCATGCTCTAAAAACAAACAGAATGGGTCTCACATTCCATGGATCGATGTCGGTTGGGATTGTTATTTGCGTTTCCGAAAGTTTTACACCCCTCACTTAAACAATTGCATTTGTATTGATGAGGGAATCCAGGGGAGTTGGATTGTTAGCTTGGAAATCTAGAGTTAGTGTACGTTGAATAGATATGTACTTCAGTCCTAAAACCTCTGTGCTTCCACATCAGCAACAAGCTATTTATTGCGGTCATTCTGTTCTGTTCGTTTGCCTTCCTGTAGAACTTTGCCCAGCAAGCGGCTACTACCTAAAATCAACACGCGTCCAGTTATTTGAATGGTAGCTTTTTTAAGTCTTTGAATCCATTTACGCCTTGACGAGACTCTCTCGCTGGTCCGGGACCAGGACATGAGTATAACCACGAATACCATTTGGTCACACAATATTCTACCTGTTTGTTATTGCTTCCCTATTTCTAATTCTGGTTTTGCAACCCTCCACACTTCTTACACCCTTCCTCAAACTTCTTCCCAACCTCAGACTAGTGGGTATTGCGTGCATATAATCAGCAAAATTGCTGCCGATCGTAAGAAAGTTCACATACAAGGTTCAGTAAATGCACCCACATTCAATCCCGTCGAATCGACACACGTTCCTTCTACACTCTTCCTATGCCAACCCACGCTGTTTATCGATTATAACTCGGTTCTTCCATCATCCATAAATCCCACAGGTCTCCCACCACAGATCCTCCCTTCCAATGTCAAACTTTTTGTTTGGTGTAGCAAAGAGCAACAGGAACGTCAGGGGAATTGCAATGGAAGGATTGTATCAACACAATTGTATCTTTTCCATGTTCCAGGAAGGGAAAGTGAATAAAGTGAACTAACAAAGAATTCGATGCTGACGCTGACGAAGCCAAAAAACTATTCTAAAATATCGTCTTTTATTAATCTTGAGTGAGGATGTGTTAGAGTTTGAGTAAAACATTTAGCCTTGTAATTTGAATATTTTGACAGTTTCTGCATTCCGCATTCCCAATGCAAAGCTTTGAGCTGTGCGCAATAAATTAATATCTTTGTGTTGATAGATTTTTTGGCTCCAATTTGGTATGGACGGACATTCGTGAAAAACAACATCAATCTAAAAAATTGGCACGCAAAAAAAGTGATGCGTCAAATTTCATCGTGCGCTTCGCATTCCTGGGTGGATACACCCTGTTCCTTTGCCTGAAATTTCACGTACAGCTCATTAAGTGCTTATTTATTATACGCACACTGAGTTCTCTTGAGCACAATATTCCAAAAGCAGTGGCTGTTACGAGTGCAAGTTTCACAACCGATTTTTTGATGCGTTCATTGGAAAAAATCAGTACGTTACACAGAATTTCCCCTTTCAATAAATGAAAACTGCCTGATAAATATTTTCCCAGGAAATGTGTTATTTGATTCAAAAAATGAGGTGGTTGGGTGAATTTAATTTTGTTGCTTTTCCGATACATAACGAGACCCCTTCAATACTGCCTCATTTTATTTCATAGAAACACAAGCCAGGCTTCTGATTTGCGGTGCTTGGTTTGTGGCCAGTCTGTGCGGATTACCGGGGTTGATACTGGCACAAAAGACTGGTGAAGGAACGGACCGTGAAGCCTGCTACTTAAACTTTAGGACAGTCGATACAAAAGTAAGTTGAGTAAAAGGTAAATAAGCATTACAAACAGATTTTCAATTCTCCGATAGGGCTAGTTAGTAAGATAGCTAAATCTTCCAACCGGTTGTCTGATCTGATGATCTGATAACAACTTATTATTAAACGCTTAATTTGTTATAACGTCACAAACTGTCGAATAAAAGAGTTCAAAATCTCCTAGAAGTATTGGCGTGGTTATATTAGGCGATCATGTCATGTGATTAACGTCTTTCATTTTGCTGATAAGACTTACTTCCAAGTTAGACACTGAAGGCATCACAAAAGTATTACAATTGTTTCTCTTCTTCAGGTATACATGACGTGTATTGCTGTGTCTGTTTTTATGATCCCGGCAACCATAATAGCCATCTGTCATATTATTATGGTGACCACAATATGGAAAGCCTCAAAGTTGCAACCGGCTTTGTTTGACCATGGTGAGAAACGCGGACGTAATGAATGCGAACCCACCTGTCGGTCACCGGAATATCCTCCACATGTGAAAGACCACAGAAGACTCCGTCTTGCAATCCCAAAATATGTGAGGCATAAACGTTCCTCCACCGATGGTTTTTTGCACAAACCCTCACAGAGTGCCAACATTGCAGCCGGCTGTATTCCCAGGGCACGAATAAAAACGGTTAAGATGACCTTTGTAATTGTTTCAGGTGAGCAAACTTAGAAAACTGTGGTTAACGGTGCAAAGCAAACATTCTTCCAAAGTTTTGAAGTAAAATCTTGCAAAATGTAGTACTAGGTTGCTAAGTCAATTTGGATTTTGTACCGCACCCCGGTGCTTAGGCTCACAGCCATAAGAAAGACATAATTGAGCTAAACCATTTCAATTTTAGAAAAAAAGAATTCTACGGTTTTTTAAGGCAAATAATTCGGATTCAGCAATAGCATCCTAAATATATCCCATTATCTATAGTTTGAAAACAACAATGGTTAATATAGGTTTAAGAACTCGGCGTTTGTCACCGATTTCCAAAGAGCCAATGCGGCCGTTTGCTGCAAATGAGGTTGATCTATGCCTGAAAGCACAGCCGTCTCATCAGTACTGACAGTAGCAAGCAGTGCACTGATCGCAAACTTTCAGGGAGATTTGAACATGCGGCATCGTGGTTTTTAGTTGAAAATCACACGCTGGGCTACGTGCGGCCCATGAAAAATGTAATCAATGTACGTTTCTCGATTCTTCCCATATTATCAAAAGAAAGGTAACAAGATTTTCACAACTCCATCCAATAATCGAAATTTCCGTTGCAGCGCTAACCACATAGAATTTTGATCTTTCCCTGATGACTGGCATTTAATAAAACAACTTATTCCAATGGAACTGAAATAAAACTTTTAGAGCATATCTACGTTTAATTGTAGTATCTATCAGAAATCTATCCGTGGGATCTATCAGGATGTCACTTCTATATCGATAGCAGTCGAGTACACCACGGAAGAAGCTTGTGATAAAAAGTAATGGAAAGTAGTGATACATGTCCAGAATTTTCAAACGCACATGTATTTTTAGAGGCAGATTGTTCAGTTGTAGCACCATTTCGATGCTCAACTGTCACGCACAAACGTAGACGGAGGAGGTCGACGGGCAGATGTATGGTTCGAACGACGGACCTTCAAGTAAGTGTATTCGCACTTTAACCACTGAGCCATGCCGTCATGTATAGAGGCAGTAATAACAAAAACCTGACAACTTGAACCAAAATCTTTTTTCCGTACAGATCTATTAGACCAGATGCCTCAGGGATCTAATTTTCAAACGAATACATGCCTAATAATAATGATAATAATAAACGCCTAATAAAAAATAGCAAAAATAATAGCGTCACCAAGCACCAAAGTCTATGAATATGAGGAAGAGTCGGTGGCTATCAAATAAATAATAGAGATTCACTGATCCCACTATTCGCCAGTAAGTGATTACCAAGAATGCAGAAAGTTTGTACAGGTCTTCAAGCGAAAGGTGCGATATTTATCAACAAACATTCACCGAATTGCATATTACATCAAACGCTTCCATATACTGTCGCACGAAACTTTCATCCTCTTTGTCTTTAAACCAACCTCCTTGAGGCGCCTGTCTAAAAACTGGATGCTTTCATTAATTGTCAGTTTCACCTGACCAAATTACCCCCCGTGCAAAGTCCACTCAGCAGTCATTACCGTAGAACTCTGTTGGTGAAAACTTTCTTCGGACAGTAAATTCTAGTGTTGTCCACAAAATATGGTTCGTCTCTCTAATTTGGTTATGAAATGTGAGCACCATTTTGACTGTCACTAGTTTGTTCTCGTATTTACACCATATTTTCATGAAAGTCTGGTATAGACCTACATAGCGCGAAAACGTTTTGATGTTTATCAACCAGAACATGCGTAACTGAAAGTTGATTTCATGAACATGAGTCATAAATTAAAATAGATGTATTACTAAGTTGAAATGGAAACGTATAGTTGCAACTCACAACCCATAGATATTTCTCGTCAATTAGGAGAATGCTGGGGACAGGATGTGTTACAGAAAGTGTCCGACGTTTGGGTCACTAAGAACGACCTTGTTCAAGGAAATGTCCTTCTGTCATATTTGTCGTGGGTTTTGTGAAAACATGCGTTCCACCCCCCGTATGCGATATGTTGTGCTCATTTCACATCTCAACTCAGGACTGAGCTTTCGTGTTGCGCAAGGTCTTTTTTCTTGGATAGTCTTTTCTAATGAAGTGTTCCTGATAAAACGAAAGGTAAGCTAGCACTAGCAAGCCTCTTGAAGCACGATACCACCATTCAGTTGATACTTTGCAAAGTAACTCGATAGTTTTTCTAATCGATCATTTGGTCTTCAACAAAGTGAGAAGTTGAACGTTAGGTACAAACGAAACAAATTTACATTTATTTATCCTAATCGTCACATGTCAAGAAGTAGTACGTTAATATATGACGTTTTTAAGCACCGTATTTTTAATATATAGAATATTATCTCGGTTGGATATGTACTGTGTCCCACCTGTCGGGATGTTACAGGCACATAAGTGTGGATTTCGGTGAACATTTTTGTTTGACGCATGAGGCACCCAGTTTTGCACTAGTTTCAGACGCATCGTGCATTTTGAGGCCATACCATAATTTACACGTTTTTAATTTAAATTATGCAATGAGTTTTCGGGTGGCCAAGCAAACTATGAAGAAGAAAATGCATTGTGCATTAGTGTCATTCTTTGTAGTAAAACTGGTTCTGTTTGGATGTATCATAGAAGCGAACAGCAGGTGGTTTGTTATCAGCTGATAAACATAGCAAACAACACAATCTGACAAAGTACCAGACCCCCATGAAATCATGTACTAAGCCAGAAAAATTATTCGGGCCCTCCTGTTGGGAGTATGACCAACCAGCCCTGACAAGGAGATGACTGGTAAACGGAAGCACTATATCACATGCGCTTGAATTTTGATGAATATCCTGCTATCATCATGCTGGCATATATGCAGTACGTCCCTTACATATAGAAGAATGACTGTTCGTGTTGCTTGTTTTTGCAAAACTGCTCACAGAGAACCGACTTTCTGCTTATAATACAGTCCAAATACATTACAGTCTACACTACAATACAGTCTACATCATTTAAAGACCAGTAGTACATAACAGTGGGTAGGCTCGTGCTAACCGGACTAGCAATAGTCACAAAATATTTGAATACTCTCAGGTTGCACTTTCTAACAATCTAGGGGCGTCAGAAAATTCCCTAGAAGAAATAGCTCCAACTAATAAAAGTCTCCACACATAATCCTTCTTTTATTGTTGCACGATGGTTTGCAGTGTTAATAAATGTACATGTATCATCGTTTCCTCCCTCATTTTCTGAATATAAAGTGCCCAACTCCTGTCCACATGAAACAAAGTTAGTGAAACTTTCAAGCTAGTATAAACCATTCGTATTTCGATTTCACCTGCGTTACTACAAGCAAACGGTACACCAACACAATAACTGGGGCGCATATCTGCCCTAAGCAAAGTGCCAACTACTCATGTTCGAAAAATTACAAACCCGGAAGAAACCACTGAATATTCTCCAGTGAAAGATTCACATTCACAAACGTTTTTCTATGGGAATTCAGACTTCAGTTTTTGGACGAAAATGAATATTAGTGATAAGACACTACACCCTTGCTGCTTAACAAAGATAATTTAGAATGTTCAGTTTTACGTGGAGCACAGGAGAATGAAGGCCTATTAGTTCCGCAAATATCTCGTTCGTATATATATGTGTATATATAATATGAACATATTCCAAGTTGGTATTCACTTTGTAGAACGCCTTAATGGAAACACAAATATTGCATTGAATGCGACTCTCTGTGATCATTTAGCCTGAACTGGTCAATAAAGCAATAAAAAATAAAGGGTAAGTTCAAGTGTAACAAAAATGATAAGTAAAATTGATTACATGAAGGTCACACCAAAATAGATTCTTAAAAAGGAGTACTTCATACGTTATCTTTCTGATTTACTTTCTGCACGCTTTCATTACTAATGTTTTATAAAACCACGTGTTGTAATGAAAAAAGGTGGCCATGACGTTACCAATCCACACCTGATCGCCTCCTTGTTCATTGCACTTTATCCCACTGAGAACATCTAAATAAATCTTGAGATAAAATTAAAGCTGTTGCTTTCCAGACTATCTTGGGCACCTTTGATTTGAGTCGAATAAGTATGAACATGATGTAAATTGTTTTTATCTAACATTTCAAGAAACAATGCCGAGGTTTTACGAGACAGAAAATTATTTATTATATTTCGAACAACATAGGAAAAATATTCTGGTGTAGCGTTTATAAAACTTATGTTCATTCGAATAATTGGCAGAAGTTTAAGAGTTCATACAGCAGACTGGAAATCAGATGCCGATAATGACGGCACGGATAATCACATTTGCTGTATAACCGAGAAGTCTGACATTTTTGGCAGCTATCCGGTTGTTGATTATGACACCAACCAAACTGCTGTTTATTTCCCACTGCATTGTTTGGGTGCGTATCCTGAGCATTCCAATGAACTCCAAAAATGTACTGCCGTGAGTATTCCCCATTTGTTAAAAACGTCGAGCTTCTTGAGGATATATGAGAAAAAGCCACTCAAAGGTTCATAATTGCAGGACAAGTTTCAGTACGCCTCTTTGCATAGAACAAAACTCCCTTTTCTCTAAAGGGCAATGAAGGTTTACTTTTGAAAATTTGGGGTGGACAAAATATGTACCTAACCAAAATAATATCAGAAACAATCACAGGAAAATGTGTTGGTGTTATTAGTCAAGTTTGACCACTATTAACCGTTGTTAAGTTATTCCACAGTAAATCGGGTTCATAGAAACGACACAAAAGTTTAAAACAGCTTCAAAAAGTTTCAATTCATAATCAGGAAAAAAGCGTCTTGAAATTAAGCCCTACATCAAAGGAAATAATCGTAAGCAAACCTTCGTAATTCACGCTGCCACGCATTTGACCATTGTATCAAAATGGTCAGGTTATTAAGTCAACCGAGATGAATACGATTCCAGAATGCACACCTTGGCTTACATGTTGTTACCAATATTTACACAAAGTGAGCGATAGAATATTTGTTTTGGCAAAGAGGTGCAGTGGAGGTACTTTGCAGGTAACATTTTTATGTATTATCTGACATATTTTAACCCATTTTCAAAGAGAAACCAAATACCAACTCAATGTCAACCACTTTGGAACTCAAAATGCTGAATATGGTTAACTATTTTTCGGCCAATTAAAAACAGTTTTGAATTTTTCCCATTTTAGACCGTTTTAAAATTCTTTGTCAAAAATGCACGAAAAATTCTGGCCCTGAAGTTTCTATTCTCAAAAATTTTGGACCAAACCCTAGTTGAAATTCTGAGAGCGGTGTTAGCGGTAACTTTTGAAAGCACGTGCTTAATGCAAATAAAAATGCCTCTAGGTCAAACGTCCGGAAGAGCAATGCAACCCCTACTGACCATTAATTTACATGCGTTCTAGCCGTTAGTGGCCGACTTGCTCACAAACCGGATGCCAAGCAAGGCGAAAAGGCTAAATGCCAATGAGTTAGACTAACGAATTCATCAGTATCTTGCAGTGTCGCTAGAATTGTTTTAAATTGCCCTAAGTTCCGAGTTTATTCGGGTGCTGTATTCAATTAGCGTTGAGCCGTTTAGCGTTAACGGCATATTATCGCATATTTTGTCTTGAAGAAAAGTTATTAGGCAGTTGAAAAAACATTTTTCTCGAGTTCAACTTGTGTAACCCAGAAAATGAATACATTATAACATGCAGTTTGATTTGTACCTTCTGTTTAGTGCTAATTAAGTGAACGAACGGGGTGGGCAAGGTGAGAAATTCTTCTGTTGATAAAAGACGCTAAATATGCTCTGTCCGAAATGAAAACAGTGAGAGGCACGGTCAACAATAGCGTTAAGCAAATAAAGGACAGGAAAAAGGAAATTGTTTTAATTCCAATGAGAACTGACGACATAATTAATGCCAGAGGATACTACACTCTGGCGTACACAAAATACAACAACATACGCATCCATAACTCCAACACGTTATATTGCTCGGCGATAGACATCGGTGCCACTCTAACTGCTATTCATGCCACCAAAAATATGATATTTGATGATTGTGTTGATTTTAAACTACCTTTAGGACTGTTAACTTTCTGAGCTAAATAGTAATGTCTGATTTCAACTGAGGACTGTTTCTTTGCTATGCTGTATAAAGCCTTAGATTTTCCCCTTTGAACTATTGCAAATCAGGCTTCAATGCATACGGCAAACAGGGTTGTGGATTTCACCTTCAACGATGCACCTTACAGGATTTTACGCATCTAAATATCAATCATATATTGTCGGAGCAGTGTATTCTTGTTGAGCAAAAGTGCTTGGAGGTGGCAGGTTATTATAATCAATATGCTTTCAACGGTTTACTCTTTGAAACCTTCAGTTTTGCGGTTCATCTATCACTCACACATTGTCAAAGTCACTTCATCTTCAGTCTGCTTTACTGCTTGCATGGTGAATTTTGTGTTGAATAGGTGAACTTTTTACGTGGCAACGGACGTCTAGGATGGCTCGTTATATCGATATCCTGAGCTGGAATACCTAGGATAAAAATTGATCACATCCGCAAGCGCGAACGCCAAATGTATTTCCCCGGCTGCTATTTGTATAACTGCTGCGCTACAAGTCTTTGTACTGTGAGAGGTCATACCATGCCCGAAGTGAAAAGGATATGCTGAGTGATGGGACAAATTCCAATAAATAGTAAAAGGAAAACAATCTCGAAAATGTCACTATACTGATTCTCTACATGTGCGATTTTCAAAAAAACGGTAGCTCCCTATTAGAAAATGATGACCCAAATTAAGAAGCAACCAGTCAAAGTAGAAACTCCAGTACATTCATAGCTGTCGACGCAAAATTTTGACCTGTTGCATAAATATAAAGTTCATAAAGCACTTGCCATGCAAATGTACTTCAACGAATATAAGGGCAATAAATAGATAATCACACCCGCTACCTTTTTATGGAGCATGCTTGTCAAATAGAAATATTCACAGTTCATTCACCAAAATACTGCTTCTTTCTGTCAGCCAAATGAGCAACAGCAATGCTAGGATCAAGACAGCTAGGATGCAGTGTCTGTGCAAGGTTTAGGTCAACCAAGATAGTCAAGCTGACTTACGCCTCCTTAGGCAGTTGCCGAGACGCATTCCGCATGCCACCGCGTTCCAAACATATCAGCAGCCGCCAACGTATGCATCAGCCAATGTATGCGAGCAAACTTTTCCGAAGTGTGGTTCATGCATATCTATTTCGAATTACTTGTTTTCCTAATGGAACATATGGTGAATATTTAACACCCATACCTAATTTGTCTTTCTTCCCAGTCTATATAATTTGCTGGTGCCCGTTTATGGTGTGGAACCTACTGGTTACGTTCGAGGTCCTAGATCGGAAGGCTCGGACTCTCCTGATGTACACCCCTCTTATTCAGGTAAGGTTTATTCTTTGCATCTGCAGAAAATGGCTAGGAGACATTTATGCCGTCATTCAAATGCCTGTAATTCTCACTGTTTGTAAAGCAATACGTCGTCCATCAAGGTCTAAAAAGTGGACAACCTGTAGTTATGGATTTCCTCTCAAAGGGCTTATGTTCAAAGTTTCTTAGCAACAGAGCCGTCAGGCAAGTGACATTCCCAAAGAACGAAGTTGTTTGCTTACTTCATCGTTGTCCAGAAAATGATACAATATTTCGTTTGATGGACAATAACCCACTTGTTGCAGGCAAAGTGCTTCCAACAAACCAGAACGTCCATACAGACATGTGGAAAATTACCACCATCGAGTGAAGTGCTAAAACCGACACAGATGACAAATCAAGGACTTAAGTAGAGCTAAGCGATAGACTCTGACATCTACAACGCTTTCGGAATGAAAAATGGCGCTGAAATGTATACAAATAGGGTACGTTTCTCAGTTTAAAAATCGACCGAATTTCAACTTGACATGCTTTAAATTCCACTTATTTGAATGGAACGCAGTTTTTATTCAGATTTCGATGGAAACTGCCATTTTGACCTACATTCGAATAAATAAACAATAAATAATGATATAATAAATGTAATGTATAATAAATAATTACCTCAACAATATCAAAACAACTTGATCTGTAATTTCTGTTGTACGAACAATCAATAGTAATCTTGCACTGGACTTCCATGTGCGCTAAAGTTGTGAGTTGAATGACAATGCAGTTGAGTCACGTGAAAAAAAATTGGAACCGATTGCGCAGTCATCGTTTTCGAAAAGGTTTGGTGGTATTCGGTAGAAATAACGAAACGTTTTTGAAGACATTGAAGTTGCCTTCCGAAGCGAATGGATTGAACCGGTCGGTCTTTATTCACGCCTATTAGCAGTAGCTTTCATCATAAAGTCTAAACCAATTTTCCTTTCCTTTACCACATGCAGATCAGTGTTGTTTATCTGTTCCTACGTATAAGCTGTATCTTTGATTCATACTCGACGTAACCCTCTAGGAAATAAATAATTTCGACTTATATACCTCTTAACGTTATAGCAGAAATCTATGCACTACCAAACGTTTGGATTTTACTTAGAGACAGTTGCCAATCGTAGGTTCTCTAAGCAATAGAACAGGACGACTGTGTCTGTCGCCGTCAGGCAGCTTGACAATGGTAGGTGGAAAAAAGGAGTTAACAGTCTTGTCAACGATACGTGCGCTTAGTTTGAAATGTTACCAAAAGTGCTGCAAGGCACGACCGAGAATTCTTTTTTTAAGTTCTAGAATGAATTTTGTCTGGGTTTTAATTCGTATACCTGCGTAATCCAAGTAACCATATTCCATCACCGGCTGCAGTATGACCGTCACGCTAGTTGCATATCCTTGAAGCCCGCAAACCAGAGATCTAACTCGCAGAATACTAACCGGTGAATACAGAGTGCTGAAGTTATACTTGGCCAGCTTTTGTTGATCCCGCATTTGCTTTGGTGAGGTATTAAAGCCAAATGGTGTTGAATTTTGGAAATTGCATGCTACGTGTTATTCCTTGGCAGGGTATGGACATGCCAGATTCCTCTAGAAAGCTGTTCAAAGACCCATAAATATTACTGAACTTGCGTCCTGTAGGCAAAGTTACTCTGGGCAAGGAATCAGCTGATTTTTTCTAGTTTGAAATTGTCGGTAATGCGCCTTTCATGAACTTGTGGAGAGATTTGAATCAACAAACTTTCGTCCTCTGCGAGAGTTCTTTTCAGTGAAACAACTGATTGTAGCCATTTCTGGGGTTGGTGTTGCCCTAAATAGATAACTGTACAGATACATTCTCAACATATAAATGGCATAATACTTCTATAACACTAGTCACTCCCAGTGTCAACGAGTCAGTAAACAATTTGCAGAAGCATAGTGTTCTCCGGTGCACCTAAATGAATGGATATCAGTCGGTGAATCCTAAAAACGTTCCATGTCATTTATTGAAATGCTTCCTGCAAAACGTAAGATGTCTACATTCCAAACAAAGGACACTCTATAGAACGACTTCTCGGCAAGATAGCCCCCAAAAGGAAACTTTCCAAATATCCTGCGGCCTTGCCTGGGATTACGATTTAATCACAATACTGAAATAAAAAATTTTCCCCACCAGAGAACTTGTTACATAAGCGTAACCGCAAAATATCACATTATGCTTGATAAATCTGTGCAGCTAATATTTCTATTAGTATAAAACTCAATATATTATCGTTGATTCTGTTGAGTACATTTTTCATGCTGTTGCCGTTGTGGCATCAATTTATAGTCCTACATAATTATGGCTTTGTTGAAACTGGAATGCGTCATTTTGTGATATGCCCAACATCTAACTGACTATGCTGCAGCTCGAATTGGTTGACCTTCGTTCGTTCAAAGATACTAAAGGTATGGAGTTGCAGCACTAAGAAAAATAGATGAATACTGCCTTCTGAATGATTGAAAAAATCGTAGATAGCCCTTTATTTATCATCCCTTCCGATCAATAGCGCAAGTAAATAAGAGGGGTAGTGTTATCCATGGTCCAGTATATTCGGTATCATTCCGGGTTTCAATAACATTCTAACCCAGTATTTCATTTTTAGTAGGTTTAAAGTGACTGTGATTTGAGGAAGGCTACTTTTACTAGCATTTATACGAGCTGCTTAGAGCAAACATGCTGAACACTGAAATGACTAGTGGCATATGAAGAGCAGTCTTAAAATCGGTTTGTGTATAGGCAAATGATCAACAGAATCCCTGGAATACATGCTGATATTTCTGAGATTGCATACAGACTGAGCTTGAAATTGTCATGACTACCTACACCGCATTGGCAATTGCTAACTGTAAAAACACAAAAGGATCATAAATACTAATCACGAGACAATGTTTAGTCATCGTATAATATGTTAACATTTTTCCAACTACTACCACACCAACATTTTTTTCAGTTGTTGATTAACCGCGCAGTGGACCGAATAAAGGTTTTTCATCGTATCATATAATGTAGCTGAATATCGTAACGAGGTAGATCGAGATATCTTGGAGGAATCAAGAACATAGCAATCGCAGAAAAAGGAACCAGATTCATTAGTTGATAGTGACGTATACCCCGCGTTCCACAAAGAATCAAACCCAGTAAATGGAAGACGTTTGTACCCTGGGAAGTAACCAAATTCCTACTTGCACAGAATAAGCTAACGTTTTGCTGTCTATAGATGCCCTTTGTTTCATCAAAAGTTTGTTGTTAATGGTATAATTCTGACATTTGCATTACTTTTCAAATGCAACCAAGCAATATAATATGCATTTAAAGCTGTGATTTGGGACACTGTTGCTCGTCAGTTTAATTCACCAAGTTTTCGTTCTTATTTTCAGAAACTGGTTCCACTAAACTCGGCTACGAATCCCCTGATATTTTGGATATTCAATGCACGTAGCATACGCAGCCAGCCTCCACAACCGCGAGCAACGTAAGTTTCCATTTTGTTTCCATTTTTTGCTTTTTGAATGTTAACACAGTTCTCACAACACATCAAACGTTCCTCTTTTGGATTCCACGTGCTTGCCTAGCTTAATAAGGAATATAATCTCCTAGTATGAGTATGGTGTAAATAGTCTTGAACGCCAATATTTGTATGTTTCCACAGTTTCGTATGATGCATTTTATTGGGATGCTTGATGGCAGAAATATCTCCTCTTAGCGTTGTTGGTGGTCCTCTACCTATTCTAAGTTCGTCTCTTAAACATCCGTATCTACCCCTCACAAAAAGAATTTCGCCTTCCTACAAGCGATGCTACTATTTAACATCCGTAACGACTAGTAGCGGAATATCGAAACTCCCAATTGGCATCCACTAATAACTGGCGTTTGAGAATAACGCCCTGTGAGATATAGGGGTCGAATTTTCACATTTGCGACATTCCGTAATGCATACGACAATCACATGAGTCACGTCTACGTTTAAAGTAGACTATTTCAACATGCACAAAAAGTCATGCTTAAAATAGTTCCATTCGAATTATCCAGCTCAAAGAAGAAACCCACGACCATCTATGCTGCCTGATTCGGCAACACTTTCCGCTATTCCTAGCTAGTGTGCTGGCTTCGAAGTTGTATTCACCGGTGTAATTGTGAAATAAGATCTGATGATTGCAGGGTGTCCGCGATTAAGTTTCGCTGTAGCCTAGTTTTATGGACGGATCCGAATTGTTAGGGCAGTAAATAGACTCGCATACTTAGGGTATATGCTATACATGTCCACAAAGTATCAACGGAATAAAGCATTGTTTTCTATTGCTTCAGTGGCGGAGTCTTTGCGGAGCACAAGCTGGGGTTAAGATTTGCAACACGAGCAGACTTCCGTGGGATCGTCCTATCTTTTTAACCGAGACACACGTGATTCTTATTGTACGTGGCTGAACTTCCCGTTACTGATACCTGAGTGTGATATTGCACTAACTTTCTGAATCCAATTGCAAAGTTATATTTCGTCTGTTATTCCAAGCTGAGCTCATGATGCGGAGGGTCCCAAAGGTATCAGATCACTCTAACTGATGATGAGCACAAAATATTCTAGTCGGGGTGCCAAAAGCGGAAATTTAACTCATGCAAGCTTGAAACCAAACTGTCAGCAGCGGAGTTCGGTGATTTAATTTGAACCTTATGGGCTAGTTATCCCATTAGACATTTAGAAAGGTATGGATACGTTGGCCGGCCTGGTTTAAAATAGGCTTTCTGTCATGAAGGCAAGTTGAATTTTGATTGAGTATGATGAGTAGCCCATTCCTCTATGTGCATAGAAGACAGTTGCGAAAAACACAAGGGAATTTATTTATGGTTTAGTTAAAAGGATGGCTGTTTATTTTTATCACATTAGGTGCGGTATAGGTAAGTGTGTGCTGCCGATGCGCAGCGTGCAACATCTTTCTTAGTCAACAGATGACTTTAGGATAAACTAATCAATTCATTTATAGTGAAGGCAGTCCCTCCTCATTACCAGATTAATTGTTAAATACTTACTTGATCCTCAATGCTTTCTGTTTTCCCATTCTGAATAAATAGTAGACAAAACTAAAGTGTGTACGCTGATGAACAAGTCATGGTAAAGACGATGAATTTCCAAATAAATTTACAGGTGATTAATGTGCAAAAATGAAATTTCCTTTGGAAAACATGCGAAAAACAGCTAATTTTCAAGCACTTGTTTATGCCTTCTGCACCTCTATAGAGTAAAGAGTAAACGAGCGTCCAATCGACTAAATCGGGCAATCTACCAGGAATCAGCATCCTTGAATCTTCCTGTGCTAATAGCGCGAAATCCAAAGGAGGTTTTCACAGCCTAGTGGTCAACGTAACTATTTACAGGAGGCCTAGTTGTGTTAAAAATGACATCATTGTGGGATAAAGAAAACCCTCCCAAGGAAGAGAGCAAACTTGGAATTCATAAAAGAGAGTATTTTAACGGGGCTCTAATAAGTGTAACTCCCAACAAAAAAAGCAACCTCCTTACGCGGTCCCTTAGAAGAAATGTTGGTGGCTGCGACGGAAAGCTAAAGGTTCATCAAATCAAGTAAACACCGAGGATGTAAGAACAGAAATTATAAAGCGCAATTCAGAGACAAAGGGTAGGGTTTCGCTGGGTGGGTTTAAATGGGAGTAAAAATTGACAAGGCGTTTGTCGTTGAAAAACGCTTGGGCGAATTATTTTTTTACCCTTACAAACAAATATTGGTGATGTCACGACAACGTTGAGAACATTATTTACCGGGGCAAGATGACGCACAATCAGAGCAGATGAGTATCCTGAGATTGGCAAAACAATGACTGGCACACAGTAGTGTCCCACTTGGGGTCATGTATGGAAGAACTGATGGACGATAGCTGACTGCTAACCTAAAGAAAATTAATAATGTCACATGACAATAATTGGGAACCACATTAATGCTATTCTGGTTCTGGAGGTCAACGCATAAAGGGTCTTTCAGCATCGGTCTTAATAAAACAAATCACGAGAGTTCTAACATAAAACTCTTCCAGAAGGTTGGGTTAAAATCAATTTAAAGGCTTTATCTTATTCAAAGCTTCACATGATATAGCTTTTTTTAATGGCGGAAATGCCCACTCATCAAATCTTGGCTTTATTCCAAAATCAAGTTTTGTACAATTGATGAAATAAGATCAAACGCAAATTAGGTTGGTTTTATAGGAAGACTGTAAATGATCCCAGCAGAATCCTTCATTCAAGACATTCTTCCGGTGAATTTAATGTTTTCGGGCGGGCTGCCGGAATGTCTAAAAAACGTGCCAAATGAAACAAATGTGAACCTTTCCTCTTCCAAAACTCCTGAAGACTGGCTACTAAAACGGAGCATGATCCACACCGACCTATGCCAAAGTACTCTACTTGTTAGTTACACTCACGTTTGTTTGACCAGCAGCTTTCTCCAGAATGCAGCTTTTTCTCAGGAGCTCGTGATATCCCCGTCACATTTCACAGCAAATAATCATTGCGTTTTTTGGGGAATAAAAAAAGTTCGACTCAGGGAACTCAAAGTTTGAGTACGTTTGAGCAGTATTACCGAGGGTCCTCTTGTTCATATAGATTTACGGTCAAGCATTCTCAGACTGTGCATTTTTAGTGGCGCCATATCACTTATGTTTTGTTGTGAATCCACCTATCTCAGCTATTACATGTATCTGGCGAGATTTCACAACGATGCTCAAATTATAACACGTGTTCTCATAAGAAAAGAGGTGAAACCTCCGTTAGACTTCACATGTCTTCATGGTGTTATTCATTGCAGAAGCGGGAAGCCATAAACTGTTTGTCATAAGAGGTTGACTGGGATGACAATGATCCAGAGCAGGCCTAACATTATGGAGAGGAACAACTTATTTTGGAAATGTCCACATTCAGCTTACTGAGGGGTACATCAAACGATGGATGGTTTTTTTCTCAATGTAACGCACAGGTTATTTTCCATAGAACTAAGTGGCAATTGCGTGTGTGTATTATTTGACCTTTGGATTTTATATTCTGGAACGTGTTTTACGACATCAGCAAGGCCCGCGATTCACCAAAAAAGGATTGATTCACTCTTCGCGAAAGACTAAATGTTTGTAACGAGTAAAGTCTGGGGGGCAGCGGTAATTTCTGGGCGTCCAGGTACCAATTAAATGTTCCCCCATGCATATTGAACTTCTCCTCTTATTCCTCTTTCAACAAAACTACATGATCCCTCGTAGCTTTTGCGGTTTGACAGCTAATTCATGATTTACCAAAGTGGTTAGAGATATTAACTGGCATCCACTCAGGTTTCTAAAAGAATAATTCAGAGCGAATTGTTCTTCATTGTTCTTCTATTGTTCTTCAGTCCAATGTCTACTTTACGAACGTGCCCGTGCTGAAGATCCATTGAGTCCCGCTTTACAATGTCACCCTATTTGGTGGCAAGTATTTCCAGGCTCTTACATAATAAACACTTTACCACTATCCAGATTTTCAAAACCAACACCGCTAAGAAAATTTTATGCTATCCGCACATTACTCCACTTTGGATAAACCTTCTTAAGCGAATCATATATTTTGCCTCTTAATTTGTTAACACATATGTACCGCAGGATATATGTCACTCTGCACGTGCCCTGTGTACATAATTGTTACATTAAAGTCCAAACCACATTTCAGACAAGCGAAACTAGGCCGTTAACGTGGATAAATATTAAATTAAGAATCCACTGCTTGGATGTGAAGACTGTCGTATTCAAAATCAGTTGCACTGTACCAGGCCAAATAATCGTATCCGTTTATTCAGGTTGCCTAATTTGATACAACACAGTTGCCTGTAGAGTTGTTCCAGCAATTCTTTTCAGTCCCCTGCGATACAACCCAACAGTCATCATTAAATTCACCCATAGCAACGCGGAGATTCCCTCGCGTATCACTAATCAGTTCCTCGGCATCCAGAAAAATTTATCTCATTCTTGTTAAACGAAAAATCAAACAGCTATCAAAGTAGGACGTGTGTTGTAGGCTTTTTCAAGTTACGTTTAGGGTGATTAAAGTTTGATCCACCAAGCTGATACGTCACTTGGGGATATCAGATAGTGCGCACAACCATAGTCGAGATGGTGCAGACGAAACACGCTAGTTCGAAGTTTGCTAAGAACTCTCCATATCTCACGACCGGTTTCACCCTATTTAAAGTTTATCAGGTAGGCGTGGGCTCCGATGTTTTGTCTACCTGACATTTTACTTGCACGACATTGGACAATAATTCTCCAGATATCTAAGTTTACGGAATTCGGTGCTTCCATAACATAGCCTGGCATTCCTGTTCACGTTAACAAGAAAAACGTGGGCTTCAATACTTGGTGTTACTACGAGTTTAAACATGGAACAGGCAGTCTAGGCGTGGCATAACCTGTGAAGATTCCTCCCGCCAAATAACGGTTATCTTAGACTTAAGCTAAG